AATTGCCTATGCACAGATAGACTCTCCTAAGTTAAAAATAAAAGTAGGTATTGCTTTTGAGAAAAGTAGTTTTCTAGCAGTCAGCTCTGACAGTCAGACTTAATATTCTTGCTCATTTGTATATGATAGTATTGCTGTTTTTTTGTTAATATATTTGTTAACTCAATTCTTCTTCTCTTTGTGTCTTTATTTATGACACCAACAAGGTCACAACATATATATATATATATATATATATATATATATATATATATATATATATTATACACTACCATGTCTTTTCAGTATATAGTTTATCATGGCTTGCCATAGAATTTTTTTCTTTATTTGTGAATTGTCATGCATTCTTGGGAAAGATAGTGGAGTAATTTCCTGTTGCTTTCCTCACGTTTTAGAATTAAGAGTTTTCTTTCTTTTAGACTGGTTGCCACCAAAGGCTAGAGAGCCAAGTCAACCTGCTATTTAATCCATATTTATGTGGAGACAAGATGGATTCATGTCTTTCTCAAGGGTTTTTGTGTGAAAATGTATGCAGCAGATAAGCCTGGAATTCAGCTAGTCAGTTCCAATTTCTGTGCTGATAATTGTTAGGCTACCTACACAAGATATGTGGGTAGTGTAGCAGATCAGCTGCTCATACTAGGGGAGATAACTCTGTCTGAATTTTTGAGATGTAGAATTAGTTAATTCTTGCTTGTTAATTCATATGATGATGCTTCTATTTATTTCACTGAATAATATTTACTTCAATGTACATAATGTTTATATATTTGCATTATGTGTATTCCAAAAGTTGTGATAATGGGGACAAGCTAACACTGTCTATAAAATGCTTCCATGGTATGCATCTCAAATGCCTCTGACAACTAAATCCAGCTCCAAGCCAGAGAATGGTCAAAGGTATACAACTGATACCTTATAACCAGCTGCTTCATGAATAGATGGAGCTTGACAGCCCAGGAAGGCAGTCCATCTAGGGTAAGGAAAACCCTGATTTTAAATCTCTGCTGCCTTGCGGTCATATTCAAACGCAGAAAAGGCTATGGAAGTAAATCCAGACAGAAAACCTGGAGATTGGAGCCTCAAAAACAGTTGGCTGTCAGCACTGACAACTTTCTGGCAAATCCTCTAACCAAGCCATCCACTGTATTGCTCAGGCCTGCACACTGGATGACTCTCCAGTCTCACGACCAAAGGACTGAATTTTGACCAAACAGAACACTACCTTTATCTCATGGGAACAGGTGCTGACCATGATGTTCTCATCTCAGAAATTCAGTTTGAATTGTCCCAAATTTACCAAGCATAACACTGTAGGTATCAGAATTTACAACTGTAATGCCATGGACATAAACAGACAAATCAATTATCTATTCACAATCTATCTTATTTTCTAAATATTTAAAAAAAAATAATTCAGTGTCAGGATCATTTATTCCTCAAAATAAATGCAACATAATTACATTTTCTCTTTTCTCTCTGTATTTCCATATATATCTAAAGTCCTTAGTGATCTTTTCATTCCTAAAGTGGTAACAATTCCAATTTTAGTATTACTGTTTAAAATAACAATATATGTTTCTAGCCCAGACCTGATCTTGAAATCCAAGCATTGTCTATTTTACTCCACAATCTATTTATTAAGCTTAAGGTTATTGCCTTCTTATTTTACCTTGCTTAAAATTTTTTATGTTCTTTTTATTACAAAACCTATAAAAATATTAGATGTTACCAAAAGGTTTTGTAGCAAAATTCTATCTTATATTTGGATAGGTGCTGTTCAGATACCTCAATTTTTTTTCTATAGAAATATATGTATATTTTTCAGTCTCATTTTTTTTTCATTTACACTTAGGTTAAAAAAGACTTTATACATTAATACAGTAATATCTACTTACATACTAAAATAACATATGCGTCACACTACAAAAGAAATTAAAAAAAAACATTAATGTTTCACACAATGTAATTTTGTTGAATGTGGGTTGCTTTATTTGAGAAACAGCATAATAAAAAAATATCCAAATGTTGGACAGTTTTTGTCTTTATTTTTCCCAAAACTAAAGCCATTATACAAAGTTTAGAATGGCTCATGATCAAATATAATAGGCATTCATTGTCTGTTATATTTAACAATATATGTTTGAAAATATATATGTACGTGTGTATGTGTGAACTTAGAAATCAACATTTTATGCCTTAAGCACTCATCAGACCATATGTTTTTTCTTTATATGTATATGTGTGTGTTTTATGTTCTGAGTTCTTTCAGCCATACCATCATTGGTTATTTCCAAAGAATTAAGATAGAAAGTACTGGAACATAACACATAACTTCAAGTTTCTTTTCACCTGATATCAGTTGACCTGTTAGGCATCAGAAGAAACTTACCAAAAGGCTTAACAGTATTCCTTGTCCAGTCTATTTAAATGAAGGAATGTTAAAATATACTATGCTTAAAATATATCTTCAATAAATATTTGTGATTTTATGTTCACTTTTAGTGGAAAAAATGACAAAAGTGATGGAAACATGATAAAAAAAAAAGAAAAAAACTAAATGAAATCAGTTAAACTATATACCTAAAATATACATTTAAAAAAAAAATTAATTTAAATTTTAAAATTCTTAGTGTCCCTTCTCCTTCATGCACATGTGTAGTTGCAGCAATATAAACACCACTTTAGTCCTAAAAGACAAAATATGTCAGACAATAACTTTTTCCACATTGTCATAGTTTTTTTTTTCCACTAAAATTGTTCTTGATATATAAAAAATTATATATTGTTTTCCAATGTTCACTTTATAAAACTGTATTTTCATTACTTATAAGAATGTTCAGTTTAAATAAAATGCATATTTCACATTAACAAAAGGACATTGTATCTTCCATTTTTGCAGTGTATTTTATTAACTGACAAAATATTGTCAAGAAACAAAAGCCATATACAATATAGCTAAATACTGGTTGTAGCAAATATATTCCAGCTTTGTGAAAACTCAGTATTACTTTTGAATGGTTTGATTTTCCATCTGATTATGAAACTTTACTGAATATGTGAGTAGTAAAGTAACTTTTGACAGAGAATGTTTGTCTGAATTTTTGAGATGTAGCATTATCATTATTGTACACTGATTTACTTGGATTATTGATCTAATCTTAGTTTTTATAGTTGCACTATTTCAGTCATTGAACCCCTTGACCCTTTTCAGGTATTTATCATAATTAGTATTGGTTAAGGTACTAAGAAATATATAAGCATGATCTGCTGCCCTAATACATTATATATATATGAGAAAAATATTTATGAAACTTGGTTGGTATGTAGGAATGGGAACAAATGAATTATACATAGTAGTCAGCATTGATAAAAAGTGAGAAGAAAGTATGATTGGTTCTCATTAGTTTTGCTAAGCCAGTGTGCAAGGATATTGAGAGCATTTGAAGAGAAATAAGAGGAAAAGCATGAAATTTGGAGGGACAGATAAATAAATAAAAATAAGCAACAAGACCAAAAAAAAAAAAGATCTCTAAAAATAGATGGATAATTAAAATCATCAGGCAAACAAAGACATAGTTTGACCAACCAATCAGAAAACTTTCACAGCCAGGATGTAAGAAAAGAAATAAACAATTAACAAGGAGACTAAAATTTCCTCCATCTCTAAAAGTAGATAGTCTGACCAGCCAATCAGAAACCAGGATATAAGGCTGTGATCCAATGAGAAGCAAGTGACTTTTTCAAAGCAGATCTATAGGTGTGTATATAAACAGATGGAAAATCAACCCAGATCATAGTCAATAAATTAATTTTGTCTATTCTCTGATGCTGTGGTCATCATAGCATACCTAGAAACAAAATACAACATTTGCATGACTAGCTGGCAACCTTAGATGGCTAACTCATCCTTGCTACATTGAAAACAAACATACCTTCCTTCACCACATGGTCAAGCAGTGGCTAGTACATTTGGATACATACATACATTAGATCTGATGTGTTTTAGACTGACTTGGCCATGAAGAGCATCGCTAATCAAGCAATGCTGAATAGTGCTTTAAATTTTTCCCAGATTCTTGAAAGTTCGTTTCTGCTCAGTTTCATATCCAAATGTAAACAAAACAATTTCTAAAGAAGTAATGGCTTTTTTTATTTATTAATCTGACAGATTTTATCCCTTCAAACATTATTTTAGTGGATACCCATATTTGAATATATGCTCCATTTATTTATTAAGCAGTATATTTATTTTCATCTACCAGCCTAATATTCCAAGAAATCTTATTAAAGAAAATGATGCACTCTCTGACTGTGTATTGTTTTCTTTAATAAAATTTCTCCATTACTTTCTCCATCTCTTTGGGAGATCTACTAGAGAAGTTTTGCTTAAAGACACAATTTGGCTTTACCTGACTAATTGGTTCTTTGTAGCTCAGTTGGTCAGAGCGTATTGGATTTAACAATAGCTCTCTCTGCCTATGGGGATGCAGGTTCAAACCCTACCAGAGTGCATAAATTTTTTCTTCAATAAGATTTTGCAAACATTCAGGCCAGTAGACGAAAATAAACAAACATACTGTTTAATAAATAAATGTAGTATTTAATCAAATATGAATGTCCACTAAAAATGATGTTTAAAGTGATAAAAATCTGTCAGATTATTTTAAAAATCCATTTTAAAATTCAGATTGTGAAATATAAAGATTTATTATGCATTTTTCAACACTTTATGCATTATCTTTTAATCATTACACAAGGCCAATATACAAATCAATTATACCAATATATGGTGGGAATGGACATTGTCATAAGATAGACAGCTCTTCCATAACAGCCTTCTTAATCCCTATAAGTTCAACAAACTCAAAATGATATAGTTTTCCTTTTCTTTTTTTTTTTTTTTTTTTTTTCACTATAACCAGTTGTTTGAATAAGAATAATAAATGGAGATTCATGGAAGTAATTTTAATTTGTGCTTTTATTGCTTTCTCTATCAGCTCTTGAAGTATGTCTTTACCTCCGAGACCAAACTGTAATACATGTCCTCCTGGATGATGGTCACCTTGCACAAGCTGATGATTTATTTGAAATTGTCAAAGAAGAGCAGCAGTTACCTTCTAATGCCAACAATATCTTTTCACTTTGGTTAGTCTCACCACTACTAGGTAAGTACCCATAATGCATTTCTCTGCTTTTTTATATCAAGGCTTGTTATTTTTGCAATGTTCCTCTGCTTAGTATTCTTTATTGTTTTTTGTACTGTACCATTAAAGAAATGGTTGCACTAGACATTTTAATTTTTTTGGATTATTATTCTGTTATGGTTATTCTTTTCGGGATCAATTTGCATGTTATTTTTGTCAGCTTTCACTATTTCCATTTAGTGATAAAGAGTTTTATTAACAAAAAACATACCAAAATTTGACATGGATCTTAGATAACAGTACATCATTGAAAGATTAGTACAACTTGTCACATTCTTGACTTTTTATCTCTGAGATGTCTTTTTTAAGCATCAATTATATTGACTTGTGCATAGTTTATTCCTGATCAAGGAATCATGGAGAATGCATCTAACCAATGACGTGATCTCTGTATGGCACTCATTATAATTAAGTTGGTTCAATCAGGCTTTGAAAAAGGACAGGCTTATAAAGAAATTTTGAGATCCAAATTTTATTGATTATTAATTGTAATTTTTAATCAATACTTGTTGAAAGGAAAAGAGGCTGAATTAAAAGTTGTTAACAAATTTAGGTTATAACTAGAAGAAAATTATACTCTATTTTTTTATTTAGTAAAACTGATCTGTTGGCAAATTAATTACATTTGTTGGCACCAATCAATTTACAAAAATTGGCTATGGTAGAAATTTTGGCCTTGAAACAATTTTTTTTTTATATATAATCATTTCACCTCAAACAAAATGATAATGCCACGAGGATATAAGAGGTGGAAGAGAATGAGCAGTGAGGAGAAAGGACAATAAAAGAACAGGATTAAATAAGATAGACGATCGTGATAGATGTTGCATTTAATTTTTTAAAGATTTTACATGACAGGGCAACAAGAAATCAGAAGTGAGTTCCACAGGTGAGAAAAGAAACTATTAGAATAGAACATACAGTTATATCTAGCTATAAAAACAGGAGTAAATAGTTGTGTTGATAAATGGTGATATTAAAAACTAAGATTTTAGGTACAGTGAAGACGTACTTTTATTTTAGATAAACACATACTTCAGTACTTTATTTAAAGACGTACTTCAGTACGTTATTTTAAAGACATACTTCAGTACTTTATTTTTGATAAAACCATGCTTCACTATTTTAGTAATGAATAGTAGTTATAATAGTTAGACTTAACAAAATATCAATTTCATTTATGTCATCATTCCCGGTTACATGAGTAAATTGGTACTAATATAAGATTATACTTGACATAAATTAGAAGATTGGTTTCCTAATGTTATTAAATAAAGAAAAAAAATGTTTCCCGAATTACTACATATTAGTATTTTCCAATTTCATGTAAAGCTAAATTTTTATCTGTGTTTTCCCACTTTACATCAGTAAAAACAGCCAGCCTATATTGCTAACATATGAAGTATTTACTATCATATATTACTAACCAATGGCATTTCCAGCATAAGTAGTAACATGTAATTTGCATACCAATTTTTAAAAGAATATTTTAAAAATATTTCATTATTTTTAATTCCAATTAAATATATATATATATATATATATTTTAAGACATTTTTATGTTTATACATTCTTTTTATAGATACAAATATTTAAGTAAATGCTCTGTTTATAATAAACAGTATTAAACAACATTTACCGGCCTGAATGTCCGAGAAATTTACACAGAAAGTATTCATCTTCTGACATATATATATATATATATATATATATATATATATATCTCCAAACAAGATTGATTTTTTTTATTGTATTTTTCTAATTTTCAGATAAGGTATTAAAAATTGTGCTTGAATTTGTGGATAAACTATTCGATGTTCATATTTTGTTATTATTGTTCAAGTACTTTTGATATTTGCAGTCATTATCAAAAATTGATGTGGTGTCTATGGTAGTTAGAATTTATTTATCTGCATCCTGGTATTCTTTGGGAATCTAGACATTTGAAATGGTCTAGCGTGATGTCATGTGTAATGGCTATTGGGAACGAGACCACAGAAAAAGGATACAGTTTATTTATTAATTTAATTTCAATTTTTATTTTATTTTTTATTATTATAATACTGATAAAATATGTGCGCACATTAATTATATCATATGCAATTCATGATACCTTCTCCTGTGGTTAATGATATTTAATGTGGGCTGTTTATTTTGTATAATAATAGCTTATATATATATATATATATATATATATATTTATAATTATTTATTTAAAAATTATAACATAAATATGTTATAAAATCACTACAAAAATTAGTTGATTTGAACCTTCAAAACCTTCGTTCTACAATCTACATTCAACATCATCACTTGATAAGACACCAAAGGTGTTGAAACAAAATGGCTATTTTTGTAGTGATTTTATAACATATTTATGTTATAATTTTTAAATAAATAATTATATTTGCTCTACTTTGTATTGAGCACTCTTTTAAGAATAGTAATTGTTGGAATTTATTCTGTATACACTAATCATACACTTGTATGCATGTATTTATATATTATATATATATATATATATATATATATATATATATATATATATATATGTATATATATGTATGTATATATTGTTTTTTTATTTTATTGCCTATACTCAGGCAGCATGAAAAAAAAAAAATAGATAATAATACACTTTGTAAATAAAAAATATTAGACAAACTGATATCAGGGAAAAAAAAATTAAAGAAAAAAAGACCAAAAACATCTGTACTGCTTGAAAATAATCAACCAGCACTGCAATGTCTAGCCAAAACAAAAAACACTGTCAGAGTAACCGAAGATAAAATGTAAAAATGCTCAATACACTAAGTAGAGAAAGAGTAGGTTTTATATATATCTATTTATTTTATCTTAAATTTTAGTTACTTTTTATTTTTATACATTTAGTGCCAACCACAAGATAACTCATGGTTGGCAGTTTTTATTACGATGCTGACCACAAGTTATTTCATTTGAGGTTGTAGACTTCATAGCAATACCACAAGTATTTCTATCAAGGCTACAGCCATGAGTTCTTTCATCGTTTTTAATGCAAATAACTGGTACCTGACATCTAAAGCAGCAATGAAAAATTGTACTGGCAACTAAAAACAAAATTTTTATGGAAAATATTTATTGAAAATATAAAAGAAACATTTAAAAAAAAATTTATTTCCTAAGCTAGCTATTATAAAGTTGGCATTTAAAGTCAGATTTCATAATTGACCTCTGGCACTCAGTATGTTAACATTACTCAGCCCTTCAATGTTTTATTTTAGAAATATTTCTGTATATTTTATCATAGAAAAGATTTAAATCCTAAAATATTCCATCTGTATATTTTTTGAGAATTGTCAGTTGTGAGCTGCCTAAAATGGGTGGCAAAACAGTGGTCAATTCCAAGCCACCTGTTGGGAATAACGAGCCATCCATAGAGATGTAGAAGCAGAGTTGGAAAGCCATGCATTGTGGAATAGAGATAGGCAGAGGGGCAGTGGATGAAAATTTGGCAATTAAAATGACAGGACAGTTTAAGCAAGACAGACAGTTAAGGCAAGAGAGATATAGAGTCAGGGTTCTTGCTGGCTGAAGGGAATATCTGGTCTGGAATTACAAAATTAGCTGCAAAGATGCCCCAAAAGTCAACCTACTTACTCCCTAGACTGTGTTGTGTGAATCCATGTTGTGTGAAACCAAATATATAAGAAGCAGGATTTAATGTGGCTTTATTTCATCTTCTGTTCCTTTGTTTGAACATGCATTGGGCTTTACCTTGTCACAAATAAGAATGACAACACAACATGGGATAATTTGTTCAGTTGATGAAAGGCCCTAGTTGTATGTTTATAATAGGGAGGACCCTATAATTAATATTGGATTTTTATAAACCTATAATTAATACCAGATTTTTATTTTAATTCCTATAATTAATACTGGATCCATGTTGGGTATTAACTCCTTTTTACAAGATCCTAGTTTTAGAATTGGTTTCAAATGGTTGACAATTCTTTAATGATTTTCTATGAAATGATCAGTTAATTATATGACTTATTCATCTTAGTAAAGCTGTTTAAAATGCAGCTTTTTTTTTTGTTTTAGTTTAATTTCAAACTTTTCTACTATTTTTCAAAGAAGATCTTTTCTGTTCTTTCCTTGACCAGGTTTTGGGCTGTAATATCTCAGCTTTTTGTGTCCATCATAAAAGAAACATTTAAAAAAAATATGTATCTGCATTTATAGACAAGATTGTGTTTTAATGTGTTTCATAACCTTTTTTCATGTTTCCACCTTAAATTCCTCATGAACTACTAGGATATCTGATCTTCCTTGCCAATTCTTGCCTGCTTCTTGCCTCTCATCATCACCTCTTTTGGGTAGTTCATGATAGGGGATTTTATAACCTATTCCAAACTGAATTAATAAAAATGTGGCCTAATGTCTTCCTTTTAGGAACTTCACATGTGAACAGCATTAGGACAGATGGCATGACACATGGCACCATTACTGTATAATGATATAGTGCCAATGTATGACTATAGCAAAACCATTTATTAATTCAAAGAATATTTCAAATTTTGAGTCTATGGAATACAATATTCTTATGTTTCAGAACTCCGCCTCAAGAAAACCCACCGTCCATATTATTTGGTACAGCAATGGCATGACTTATGTTTACGACACACAGATGCTAGAATGGATATTCAGAAAGGTGAGTTTTGTTATACAAAAATTTGTTCCCATCTATGATTTATCAATAAGAATATGAAAAGAAGCCAGAAGCTCCAATATGAACATTTCAGAGTGTTTGACTGTCAATCTGAGGACAATGCAGAAGGATGATGCCAATGGTAATTTTATTGAATGAATTTACTCTTTAATATTTCAAGATAATTTTGTGTAATTTTGGTAAATATATCTGTCAAAATGAGATGTCAGTGTTATTTTCATTTTTGCATAATTTAGATTTATCAATTGCACCCTCTACTTATTATACTGTGTGAGCCAATGGAAAAAATATATTTATTATGCTGTGTGGATGAATAGAAAAAAATATATTTATTATGCCGTGTGGATGAATAGAAAAAATATATTTATTATACAATATGTGTCAAAAAAAAAATATATAAAGTGTGCTTCAAAAGAAAAAAATATTTATTATACCAGTATGTTCCAAAAGAAAAAGATATACTCCTTATACAGTGTGAACCAATAGAAAAAATATATTTATTATATGGTGTGGGCCAATAGAAAAAATATATTTATTATACAAAAGAAAAACTTATACAGTATGGTCTAAAAGAAAAAGTATTTATGAAGAGCTGCTGAAAATGTTTTTGTCTAACCAAGAGGTGATTAAACAAATTGATGTTCGCTTATTTGATCAAATTTTTAGGATATGGTTCAGGACAAGAACTTTTCAGCAATCTGAAGTGTATATTCCAAAAGAAAAAAACAAACATTTGTTATACAGTGGTTCAAGGTTAAAAGAAGAATACTCCATTTTTGTAATTTAAATTTTAAAAATAATAATTTCTTTTGAAAAATGAGAAAAGAAGTTTTTAAAATTTAAATTATAATTTGGATTAAAACTAGGTTTATAAATTAATTATTAAATGAATTTAAAATAAAAAGACTTTATTTAGTGAATTCCATTTTATTTGCAGACAATCCAATGTTGATGTTTCAAAGAAATGTGTTTTACTCTAAAGAAGAAGAAATGCATGTAAGAAATGCTTTTGATTTTCTTATTTTGGTTAAAATTTGTCATGTAAAAAATGACAACTAATTGAATATGCTGAGTGATAAATAGGTATTTGTATATTCTTTTTACAGGACAAAGAAATCTCTCAAGGTAATATGAAAATGACTGATATCAGTCTATTGTATAAGAATTGGAAGGAATGGGAAAATAAGATATAGAAAAATATTACTGCTTCTTTTAATAGATTTTTTTATGTGTCTGCATTTAAAGACAAGATTGTGTTTTAATGTGTTTCATAGGATAGCTTCAGTTTGGATGACCAAAAATGGTACAGCATATTACATTACACTATGTTCCTTGTCTTCCTTACCTATATGCAATGAAAGTCTACTTAAATTTACAAGTGTCTCATGGGATAGTTGAAATTTGGATGACAAAAAATAAGAAAAACTTATATGACCCATAACAGCAAAAGTATATTCTCAACATTAAAATACTGTCATATGAAAGATAATGTTCTTGTGTGTGAGTTTGAATGTATTTATTTACTAAGCTAGCTTCACAAGTCTAAATTTATAGTGGGAAAGAGAAAGTGTAAAACATAAGAAAGCAAAGAAAAATACAGATTTCTACTCTATTTCAGTCATTTTAATTCCTTATATGATAATGTTAACCATTTCCTTATATTAAACATTCAGTATTCATTGAATGAATCAGTCAGTGCCACATTTGATTGAAATTTATAAAATCTTTCTATTAAAACAATTTTTAAAAAATATTCTGCATGCATATTAAATTTTTATAAGTGGCTTGACATTCTTTGAGCTTTTACTATAGATAAAAAGACAAAATATAAAATATACTATGTGATTTTTATGTAAAAAAAACTTTGCATCAATAAAGTTAATCTGAAAACTAAAGAAAATCAAAAAAAATTTACATTTTTTAAATAAGTGATATGATAAAATAATTAGAAATGTTGGCAAATATGGACCTTTGTGGCCGCAAAATAATGTTGTGTCAATAGAATAGTTTTTCCATTGACACTGCTATTATTTTAACTACTGTCACTTCTTGGCAATGTTTGTTTTAAAAAGTGATGATTAGAAATATAATAAAACTTAAAAATATATTGACAGTGAATTCATACAATTTTTTGTTTTTGAGAAATTACGACAAAAATATTAAACACTATTTATTTATTAGATTGTTTATTTGCAAAAATAATTTTTTACACCATTCTAAAACTAATACAATGTAATATTTATCATTACCAATTTATAAACTTCAACTAAATTATTAAAATATGTGAACCAACTCTAAGGAAATCCTTATACTTACCATTTTATAAAGTTTGAATCATTTGCCAACCACTCAATAAACAATCTAATAAATAAATAGTGTTTATTATTTTTGTTGTCAATTCTCAAGAACATCAAAAATGTATAAATTCACTTTCATATGTTTAGGTTTTATTACAATTCTAATCACTGCTTTTTAAAAAAAAAGACTTTGCAGAGGAATGAAGATAATCAAAATAATAGTGGTGTGCAATTTTTTTTTTTTTTTCAGTTAAAAAGATCCAAGTTTACTGAAAAATTAATGTCTGAATTTATTGAGACAAGGCGTTCTGATAATTTCATTTTCGCTCACAGATTTCGTTGTGTATTTTGGAACATTTGACAATTCTATAATGAATGACAAAATTTGTTCTGATAGATACAAATCTATATATCATACCCTCCTATATTCTAAAATGCAATAGCCGCAAGGATACATGAGAATATAGTAGCCAAAACAACAAAGATGGAGAAATTTGTCAGTTGGTCAAAAATAACGGTTATTAGAGCAATTTTTAAAAGAAGTCAAACAGATTATTTGTAAAAAAAAAAAAAAGAAAAAAAATGTAAATACTTACAAATATTTAGATTACCTCCCTTGCATACATTTGACTTCGTTGTTATTTCCCTTAGATTTAGTTAGGAATGATGGTAGGAACAAAGATGGGTGGTAAAGAATGAAACGTTAATTACAGCAACAAAGAACAGGAAGTTGTGAAGACCACACAAAAGAAGAAGAATGTGTTTGGTATCTTTATCTTTTCTACTATATAAAGTTATAATTAAATAATAATAAATGATCAGTTATAACAAGTTTAGTATTGGAGATAAGGAAATTGAACATAGGATAGGCTGTACTAAGAGTAGTTTTGACTGATACCACAAATTGCTTCAAAACCAAAGCATTAACTTAAAAACTCAAGTCATGTTCTTAAAAAGCATCATCAGATCAAGGTTTTCATATGGATGTGTGCAGTTACCTCCACTTACTCCCTAAAAAAAAAAAAAAAACGTCGCTAGAGGATGCTCCTTAAGCCTATGAATAGGAAGTAACCTTCTCTGTCATCCTCTCTTTACTGTTTCATCCATGGACGGTAAGATGTAGGTCGCCATGTGGAGAAATGAAGCCCACACCTGGGTACAAATATATGCACACACGCATACCAGATCCTTCCTCTTCACTTTCCATTACTATTCTCTAGGACTGCTACACCAACATCTTGACTAGTTTAAATGTTTTCTTTCATATTCATTGTTTTGTCACACGCAACAATCTTCTATTGTCTATGTATACCTTTGTTTTGTTAATACATACTTATTTGTTTATATAGTTAGTTTTAGTTACTTTCTCATTTTATTACTGAGACTCACATTCTAGTCTGTAATAATTATTGTGGGATAAATATACCAGGAGACACATGTTTTCCACCTAAACACAACCAGCATGCACCCGCAACAGATGTTATGCACAGTGCCAAACTCATTCAGAAATATCTAAACTGTCAACTATATACAACCGCTTTCTCAGAACAATAGTTAAAAATGGGTTTGAGAAAATGAAATCTGTAGGTCTTAGCAAGGATCATACTTCTTCAAACTTCATGGTTTGATGCTACAGAATCACAAAGAAAGAACTGTACTAAATAACAAACCATATCACTTGAGGACTTTTAACAACTAAAATGTATATCACATGTAATTTGATGAGAAAATAATGACATAATCAAGATAATGACATTTCACACTGCTGTAAAAAAAAAAAGTTAAGAAAGAAGTTCCCATCAATATTGGAAAGAGTGATAACAGTTACTGGACTTGAGAAGAGTAAATAATGATATAATCAAGATGTTGACATTCCACATTACTCAAAACAAAAGGTTAGGAAGGAAACCCCCATCAATACTGGAAAGAGTGATAACAGTTACTGGACTTGAGAAGAGTAAATAATGATAAAATCAAGTTGTTGACATTCCACACTGCTTAAAACAAAAGGTTAGGAAGGAAACCCCCCATCAATACTGGAAAGAGTGATAACAGTTACTGGACTTGATAAATGTATTTTTTTGAAAAATTATTTTCACAGACAGATTTTATAAATTTCAGCCAAAAGTAGTACTGGGTAATTTGGTCAATGAATACTGAATGTTTCCTTATAAGGAACTAAAAAATGATTGAAATAAAGTATAAATCTGTATTTTTCTTTGCATTGTTATTTTTTACACTTTTTCTTTCCCACTATAAATTTAGACTTGTGTTTAATGAGGCTAACTTAGTAAATATTATTTATTTTAGGATATTAAAACATGTTAAAAATCGCTACATAATTACAGTTACGGCCTATTTTTTAAAGTATTCTGCTTTTAAAATTAAATTAATCTTTTACTCACCAGTAGTTTAATATCAGAGGAGACACATTTGTAGTGTTGAAACATAATTGCCATTATGTAGTGATTTTTAACATGTTTTAATATCCTAAAATAAATAATAGCTTGATTCTATATTGAGCCATCTTTTAAATTAAATGTTACATACAGTAGAATTATACTCCATTTGTTCTCATTTTACCTGGATGGATATATATATATATATATATATATATGGTGCCCCCACCAATGTATTCACTCATTAAATGATAATAAATGTAATGTTTATTGACTTGCAAACAAGATTAATGATTAAAATTAAGAAATATTAATGTTTATTGACATACAAATAATTTTTTTATCATCTCACTCCAAGCAAAGCAATAAAGCCACTAAGGTGCAAGGGACTACTGTGTGTTAGAGGATATTAGAAAAATATACTATTAAAGAGAGAGAACAATAAAAGAACAAGAATTAAGAAAACAAGATAATGATTGACATTGCATTTAAATTTTTGAATATCAAGGTTGACTGAGAAGCAAGTAGCCAGAAGAGAGTTCCACAAGCAAGAAGTGTGAGAGAAGAAACTGTTAGCATAGAACTTACAGTTACATCTATTCATTTCAACTGTAAAATAGTGAGACCTTGCTTCCAATCTAGTAATGTACATAGAGGAAAGTTTATCAGAACAATTACCATGAAAATATTTATAGAAAAGGCACAGGGAGGCTATGTTATGGTGGTGGGAAAATGACTGGAGCAAAGATGTAAAAAGATGAAACCTTGCTGCCAATCTGGTACTGTGCTTAAATTCAGAAAGTCTATATACCATAGAGGAAAATTCATCAGAATAATTATCATGAAAGTATTTATAGAAAAGCCACAGAGAAGCTATGTTACGGTGGTGGGAAAGTCATTGAAGCTGAGATGTCAGACCAGGATCAGTAACATTGCAGATTCTTCTCTGGATTTTATCAAGAATCTTTAAATGTATATTAGAATCACTAGGCCAAATGTAGCAGCAATGTTCAATGCATGGATGAATGATAGATTTATAAATGTGTTATAGGGAGTCCTACACAATACTTAGCTCCTATCCCATTACTTTGTCATGTCAGTCTATGTTGAAATCAGTTCTAACAAGACCTTGAACAGTCCAGATTAATTTGGAAACAGATTGACTGTACTATTTAAACTATTGCTGTATTCACAAAGTGTTTCACTTAATTGTTTCAAAATAATAACTTGAGGAGCAAAATTTTGTTTTAAAAGAAGGGTCTGTAATGTTATCAATCTTGACCTGGCATTTCAACTTCAAACACTTTCCTATCACTCTGATGTAGCTTCCCTCTGTATTTTCTATAAATATTTTCTTGGCAATTCTAATGAGCTCTCCTCCTCCTTGTTACCGTGACCATTTGAATTTAAGCATATTACAAGATTGGCTACAAAGGTTTATCATTTTACCATTGAAATAGCTAGATGTAATTGTAAGTTCTATTTTAATAGTTTCTTTTCTTGCACTTCTCACCTGTGGACCTCTCTTCTGATTTCTTGCCTTCCTGCCACTTATAATCTTTAAAAAATTAATTGCAATGTCAATCGCCATCTGTCTTCCTGAACACTGTTCTTCATTTTTTTCTCCTAACTAAAGTCTTCTCGTTGTCTTCCACTGCCGGTAACCCCTTAAATATTAGTGGCATTGATGCTTTGCTTGTGATGAAATGATAAAAAATTCATATTAATCAAAAATTGTGAGTTCACATTGTCATATTGATTCTTTCTTTAGTTACAAGATGAAAGTATGCTATCATTATTATACCATGAAGCCCGTTACAATGTGCTGGAAGGACGTTATGTTCTGGATCGGCAATACTATGACCGACTTGCCGCCATCCAATTTATTATAGAATATGGACCTGACAGTAAAAACAAAAATCCACTTCAAATTTGCAGGTAAGTATCTTGTTATTTAATAACTGTTTATGGGAACCATTATATCACAGTGTAATATAGTAACAACTAGAAGGAGAAGCTTATGAAGCTTTATTTGACTCATTCTGCTTTAATGTTGAAAAACATTTATTATTGTGAGAGGGAGATGGGATGTGCTTATTTTATGTGTTGAGCAGTCCTGTAGAAGCAAGTGAGCCAGAGTGGCTTGCATCTGGTGCATAGGAAAATAAGGGTCTTACCTTAACATGCAGCACGTGACATCAGCAAGTTTGCTCCGTGAAAATGGCATTACTCTCCTGTCTAGCAATTCTAGTAGTATGTGCAGGGTTTTTTTTTTGTTTTTTTTGTACAGTTTGGCATGCTTCCACCAATAGCAAGTCGTGTGCTGATTGGTTCAACTGGAAGAGGCTATTTGATTGTGTAACTGAGAATAAAAGCCAAGAACGCTGATTGGTTGCTTGACCGTGGTGTTGGCCTGATAAAAGTGGGCTGAAGCAGTGAAAACGGGGAGAAAAAGGATGGATATATGTTGTGAGGTGTGCAGAAAGCAAGAACGGTGAATTGAACCAGTGGTATCTTGATTTGTACAAGTGACTTCGTAGTAATACAGACTTATTTACACTTACATTTTATTACCATACACAAGTTAGTTTGGTTTGGTTTATTTTCTTTTACAGCATATCAACCTCAATGGGTTATTTAATGCTGACAAGCTTTTTATTGCTGGTAATATTTTTTTCCAAAAATGTATTGCTGGTAATAATTTTTTTTACAAAAATATATTGCTTGTATTAAAATCTATTTTGACACCCATTTAGGGGTTAAATATTTGCTCATAGTTGGGACCCTAACAGGTGCCACCACTCTGAGTCAGGGGGGACCTGGGAACACCAGCTATTAAGAGGGGGTTCCACATTCCTCAAAATCTGATAAGAGGCATTGCTGTTGGATGTAGTTTATTGTCCTACCCAGGACGCACACAAGTTGGATTTATTAAATAAATACATGTAAACTTTCCTACACTCTAATCATTATATGTATTTACAAAGTATAGCTTACTCTGGCACAAGGTCACAGTTGTGAGGCATCCAGTGAGAAGGCAACTTACTACACAATAATAATTAGATTAGTAACCATTATATATATATATATATATATATATATATATATATATATATAATTTTTTTTTTAAAGAAGTTTTGTTAAATTCAACCAACAAAGTTTGTATGTTTTTATTCTATTTTTCAATTTTTGAATACGCTTTTCTTTTCTTTATTACAATGATCTTTACTCCTGCACATGACAAGACCCACTTTACAGAGTAAGAAGCACAGTTTATAAAGATAACAGTTAGCTCTAGACTCAAACAGGTTAAGATTGTAGTGATTGGGAAGCAACCTCTTAGGAGTCGGTTTCACAAAACATGTGTTTGTGGGAAGAAACTGCTCAAGTGAAACTTACATCTCACTAGTGGAATACAAATGGAATGACAATGGTTCATTTCAACGTGCATGCCATGATGGATCTTAGCCATGAAAGTTAGAACTGGTATAACTAAGGATTGTAATTAACCGGGCGATAGGCAAACCTATCTAAAATTGTTTATGGAGGACTTAGGTGCTAAGTGGCAAAATGACTGTCACACATCTATAATTTATTTGCTTATTTTTTTTACTTACATTGCATATTACTTTTGTCTTTTTTCTAGGAACCATCCAGAAAGATACTATCCAGATTTTCTCTGTAAGAAGAGATGGCAGATTCCAGGTCTTAGGAATTCTTCACGTCCAGTATTAGAGTGTCGATTTGAACAGGAATTCCAACAAGTGGATGAAGAATTTAGGGATCAAGAATCAGACAAAGTTTTTCTCTACAAGAAGTATCTGGAAATTTTATGGTCCTACCCTTTTTATGGGTGAGTAAAGAATTGTTTATTGATCCCTCCCCTATGGGATGTGCATTATAAGTAGACCAATAAGTTTACAGCCTGACTGAACATGTACTTTTTGATCTGAAAAATTTACACAGTGTAATATTCAATCCACTGGATTAACTACATTAACAAAGAAAGAGATTTTATTGACTAGAATAAGTGATTTTTTTCATCATTAAACTATAAGCATATTGATGTACCCAAGTGTGTGTGTGATATATATATATATATATATATATATATATATAAGATAAAGAACAAATAGAAAACATTTATCATTCTAACATGTTTCATGTTTATTAAAGTTTTGTCTGAAATGTGAAGAAAAAGAAATTCTGGCATTTTTACTTTTGTATTGTTTGATTTTCATTGGTCAATCATGTATCACATGTATTCGACTCTTTTAAAACAAAGTTAGTATAATTTGCAGTGTTCAGAATTCAATGAAAGATGACGAGTCCATCCAAATTTTCAAGAAATTAATGGACTTCAAGCCTACCTGAAAAACTGTAAATATTGCTATATGTATGTAAGTTTATAAAAATTCTGGTTTGTCTATGTGGGCATCAGATGATAATTTATATTCATAATTGTGTGTGTATATGTTTAGTAGATATTATGTTTGTTGATTTTTCATGTTGATTTGGGAATGTTTTTACTGACATACTGTTCGTTTTAGACAAAGATGTTAGATTCTTTATGAATGTATTCAATAAATGTTAGCAGTGTAGTATAATGATTTTGATGTGTTTTATAGTTGGTAATATTGTTATTGTTAACCTCTCAAAGTACGTTGAATTATGTCTTTATTTTATTTAGAGTGGCATTGGTAAAATCAAAGTAATAGTTTTGTTCCTGTGTATGATGAGAGTTCGAATGGTATTCTAAATGTAAATCTCTTTTGTGCTCATAGATACAGGCTTTTAGATCACGTGATATCTCCCTTATGTAAACATTTTTGCATTATAAACAATTTATTTGATAAATACTGGCATTTGAATTAGTATTGAATTTTCTTTTTTTCTAATTATATTGCTGATTGTTTTAGATGTGGTGGTAAAGACCTTAGTATTAGGGATAACTAATTTATTTTCAAGTTAAGTATAAAGAATGTTAGAGGGTAGGATTATGAATTTTGTGTTATTTTTGTTAGAAGTGCTGTTGGTGATATCAAATTTTTTGGCTTTGTGAATTTTGTAAGCTTGTTTTCTAGCATTGTGGATGAAATGATATGAGTAGTGAAGAAAAAATAAAGTCAATACTAATTCCTTCAAGTTTTAGCTTATTTTGTTTTGTATTAAGTGTTTTATGGTCTGTCTATATTTCTGAGATGAGGTATTATGTACATTATTTACATTATTCGAACAATTGTCCTCATCTTTGTTGCCATATTCATTACAATGTTTCGGCCCTTCAGTATCTGTCTATATTTCTGAGATGAGGTGTTATGTACATTATTTACATTATTCGGACTATTGTCCTCATCTTTGTCGCCATATTTATCACAATGTTTCGGCTGTTGTATGCTCCGGCCTTCTTCAGGTGGTTGGAATGTTGAACTGAACCCTTTATTTCGCTCACTGGGGTAGGCTGTTCTAGTTCCACGTGCCTCGACACATGGCACAGTGGATAAAGGCATTGGTTAGATCCAGTGACAGAACCCAAAGAGTGTGAGTTCAATACCCTGTTAAGGCAGTGGAGAACTTTCACAGGGAAATTAACAGGAGATAACTGATAACTGACATCCATCAAACATGGCACGTGGAACTAGAACAGTCTACCCCAGTGAGTGAAATAAAGGGTTCAGTTAGACATTCCAACCACCTGAAGAAGGCCGGAGCGTACAACGGCCGAAACGTTGTGATAAATATGGCGAAAAAGAAGAGGACAATAGTCCAAATGATGTAAATAATGTAAGTCTTTTATTGTTTTAGAAGTAGTTGTAACAAATTTTATGTTAATTTTAGATAATTTTTTTTTTATTGGTAGTTGTGATAGTTGTTAGGTATATTTTAATTGAATTTGCTTGAATGGTTCACACTTCTCTTTTTTATGAGCCTTTTTTTGTGCTGAATATGAATTAATTGGGGGGAACTTAAAAGTATTTTCAATGTATTTCTCCTCATCATGTAAATATTAAATAGGATAAAATAATTATTTCAGATTTTATTTTGTTGTAATGGAGAGAATAGAAATTTATAAGGCTATCTGTATTAGTTGATTTGGTATAACATAATATCTAGGAAAGTTAATGTATTTGTTTTGTAAGTAAATTTTATCACATATTTAACATTGTTTAGTTTATGTACAAGGTCAAGTAATGTAGTTCTGTGGAGATATATTATCAGAGCATCATCAATAAATCAGAAATATGTTGATTGTTTAGGTGAAATACTTTGGAAAGGACCATATTCAAGAAACTGTGAGAAAAGACAAGCTAAAACACCAATCAAATGCAAAACTATAGGTAATCCAAATTTTTCTTTATAAAAATTATTGTTAAAGAAATTATTGTTATTGAAATGGCATTGATTGGTGATGAGTTGGCAGGTTTTTATGATTTTTAGCTATTGTTGGGGAGAGGTTTATTTTTGATTTTGTTAGATGCTTTTTTTTTTAAATTGTTAACAGGAACATTAGTATAAAGAGATTTAATATCTAAACTAGCTATAAGTTTATCTGTCATATTTATTCTCCTTAATTCTTTGACCAGGTTACCTGAATTTTTAATATGATGGGCTGATGGTTCCAAGGAGAAGTGTTAAAATTTTCATTATGTTGTTTGCCAGTTTGTGGGGAGTGCTACCAATAACTAAGTGGAATAAATTTCCTGAAGAAGGCCAGAGGGCACAATGGCTGAATCGTTGTAATAACATTTATTTTATTTCAGTTATCATTTTTATGCCTGAAATTAGTTTTGGAGACTAAAATTCATGATACATCTTTTTTTAGTCATAGGAAATGTAGATTTATGCTTCTTCTTTTTTTAGTTTTCTCTAAAGTGCTTCATATTTTAATCCACAGGAGTGCATTCTTCACTGCAATGGTTGACCGTCCATCAAGCAGACTACAGATGTTGCTTGGCTCACAGCCAGTCCAAGTGTGGGTATGCATCAACACAGAGGGATTGTGCATCATTGAGAAAGACAAAGACGTAAGTTGGTACTAACATTTAAAGATATTTAGGTAAATCAATAAGTTCATAGCCTAATGTTGGAAAAAACAATTTACACAATAGTTACTTTTTAAAGATTATCTCTTTCCTTGCTCATAGATAATGTAATGGATATAATTAAATGGATTATAATTAAATAGAAGTGTGGACTGGGTTCATTAGCTTTGGATGGCAACCAGTCTAAGAGAAGGAAAACTTTGAATTTCAAAGTCTGGAGAAGGTAACAGGAAACTACTCCACTATCTTTCCCAAATAGGCATGGTAATTCACAGATAATAAATAAAAGGGAATCAGTGAAGAGCCATTATACTCTGAAGGACATAGCATTAAAAAAATAATGAAATGTATGGCTACTGACATGTATTTTTTAGGTGACTTCTGTAATTTACTGACAGATGTGGAAATTCAAAATCTTCAATTTATGAGTCAGTAACCAGAAGAAAGATCAATACAAATGCAAAAGGATATATACCTGTGTTCTATGGATTATACAAAAGCATTTGATAAATCTGAAGGCGCATTGAAATGGTGAAAGATGCCTCCCAAAAGCTAAGCAAAATAGTAAGAAATAGGAAAATTTTGTTAGAAGCAAAGAAAAGAGTCTTGAACTGTTACATATTTGTTCTTTTATATGGCAGTGAATGCAGGACAATCTCTTCACAAATGAAGAAGACTTGTTGATCACCTAAATAGGCACAACCTCTTGAGGGACAAACAGTATGGGTTTTGATCAGCCTAGTCCACTGCTCTTATCTTAACTCACAGAATCATTGAGGCACTAGACTACAAATGCATCTCAAGGATGATCACATTAGATATTTCAAAGGCTTTTGACAGGATGTGGTATAAAGGGTTACTACACAAGCTCTCTAGCTATGGAATCACTGGAAGAGTCTTCTCAATTCTAAAGTCCTTCCTAATGAGTAGATTGCTGAAGGTAGTTGTTAATGGCCAATCCTCTGAGTCCCAAATGACCAATGCAAGCATCCATCAAAGTTTGCATCTTGGTCCAACGCTCTTCCTACTTTTCATAAATATAAGAGTATACTCCAATTATTTGTGAATATCTATGCTGATGATACAACAATATATAGATGCACCTCCAAAACCCTAGATGATCAGAACTTGGCAGCTGATCTCTCATTTGGCCTAGCTCTAATAGCTCAGTGGGGGAAAAACTGGCTGGTTACATTCAATGCCTCAAAAAACAAACTAGTGACATTCAGCCATCACTGATCAAACCCAGAACTTCCTCCAACTGCAATGAATAGATATTCCCTCAAGTAGACCTTCTGCCTTGAGTGATTATTGGGGCTTAAACTCAACCCAGACCTCAAGGAGAACATGTACATATGATCCATTGTAAAAGATGCTGGAGAAACAGTTGCTTCCCTGTATCACTCCAGCAAGTACCTGACTCCTCTTTGTTATACTCTGTTGCAATTACATCTTTTCTGATTCATTCTGCATGCTGGCTGGATGTGAACACCACGAAGACAGAGAACAAAATAACAAAAGTCATTTTCTGTGCATTAGGCTCCACACATTATATCTGATCTACGAAGTGAGCTCCAGCATTGGCCAATTGCAATTGTTCCTGCCAGAAAAAGCAATGCCCCTGTGTACTACCTGAGAACGACCAAAGTCAGTTGTGGCCTGGCTATCCACTGGCCATCATGCAGGGTAGTGCTGCTGCTGTTGCCTTTACTGCTGCCACTCAACTCTCAATGACTGTTACCATTCCCAGGCTTGACTAACCAGCTCAATTATCCAGCTTCATGTTGATAACATCTCAACCTTGTCACCTCAGCAAACACCAGTCATGAGCAGCCAACTATCCAACTTCAACTCCACCCAGCTACAAGCCTTCCTTGTTGACAATGATGTCACCTCGGCAATACCAACATGATCACATCTCAACTTTGACGCCACTCAGCTACAAGCCTTCATCATTGACGATACTGTCACCTAAGCAAATCCTGACAGGACATCATCTCAACTTCAACACCTCCCTGCTACAAGCCTTCATCATCGCCGACGCTGTCATCTCGGCAAATACCAACCAAACCAATCTGACAACACTGTTGTCACTTCAACTTACTCAACTTGTTTACAAGGCATTCCCTTCACAGTTGCTATCATGGCCCTGCTCAACAGAACTGGCCTACCAACCACGCCAACTTGGCAACACCTTTTTGCCTGGACAACTCTCCATTGTTACCTCTGCCTACACAACTCATTCACAAGGCATTCCTTTCACAGTCGCCACCACAGCCATGTTCAACAGAACAGGGATACCAACCATGCCAATCTAACATCACCCTGTTCCATAGAACAGGCCTACCAACCACTGAAAACAGCCTACCACCATGTCCTTGATCAACCAAATGTGCACTGACCATATCCTGTGAGCTTGGCCAGGCCAGCACAAGAAATAGGTTAAACCCCAACGTTTCCCTTATACCCAACCACCATCTTGACGATCGCCTACTGAAACAGAAATTCCACCTATCTTTCAACATCTCTGTCTGATATACCAACAATAAACCTTGTTCAAAATCTAATCCTCATTATTCCTTTCTCTTGTAATCAAATGCTTAATATAACATCCTGCTATCCTCTACTGTCATAAGAGTCAGATCAGGCTGAAAATGGAGTGCTACCCAGTCTTTGCTTTCCATTCTCGATAGAGTCCAAAAGCATCTTCTCATCCTTGTGGGTGACAAATTATTTTCCACCCTACACTTCTTTCTCACAGACAAGATGTTGCAAGCCTCTCACTGCTCTATTGCTATTTCCATGAAAAGTGTTCAGATGAGCTACACTCCTTTGTTCCAGAAGTCATGACCTTCACAGCTAGGACCTGCCATGCCATACACATTGTAACGAACCCCACCCTCATTCCCTTTGTATTCCTTTAGTGAGATGTAAATTCCACTTGAGCCACTTCTTCCCACAAACTGCTGCTTTATGGAACCGACTCCCAAGGGGATGCATCCCTGATCACTACAATCTTAACCTGTTCAAGTCTAGGGTTAACCATTATCTTCCACACATATCTGCATAAGCTGTCTCTCTTACTCTGTAACCCTCTGCCTTGAGTGGCTGTTGGGCCTTGTACAGGGTGAATGTCATTTTAAATAAAAAAAACTAAAAAAAACTTGAAGCAATGGAAATGTGGTTCTACAGACAGATGCTGAGAATACCGTTGACCAAACATGAGTAGCTTTAGATAAAATGGAAACTTCTAAGACATAATGAGGAAAGAGGGCTTGGAAAATTTGTTTCTCATAAGACAGATTGAAGGTAAGAGAAACAGAGGCAAACAATGCATAACCTACCTAGCAAGCTTGAGTAAATTGATAGCAGAACAGGGTTTAGGAGAGAACAAAGGTCAGGAAATTATGGAGAGCCATGATCACCAACATCCAGAAGGGGCATGGTGCATAGAAGAAGAACCTGAAGTACCTTATCAAATGCTTTTGTATAGTCTGCATTTGTATTTACAAGATTTCATTAGAAACAAAAAAAAAGTGTACTGAAATATGTAAGAGTCCTTCAATGAATACTGGACAATTTTCTCAGAGATGAAAAGGAGATTTGAGGCAACAGAGACATGGTTCTACAGAAGAATGCCCAAAATATCTTTGACAGAACATGTAAACAACAAGAAAAATGGAAATAAGAAGGACATAATGAGGAAAGAGGGCTTAGAGAATTTGACATACACTGGACACTGAAGGCAAGTAGAGTATAGGGAAACATTGAATAACTTATCTAATGAGCTTATGTAAATGGATGAGAGAACATTGATTGGGTAGGATAGTAAAGAGACAGACATTGCTTAAAACTATGAAAGATAGGAAGTTGTGAAGAGCCATGATCGCCTATGTCCTGAAAGGATATGGCACATAGAAGAAAAAAAAATCTAAGGTGATTTGTTTAAATATCTTCAGTTACCTTTGCTGTAATTTTATTTAAATCACATTATCTATAGAAAAGCTGAATTGTTGAGATAAAGACCCATTTAAAATGCCCAATTTCCTTGAAACCTTTTTTCCTTTTGTAAATCACAAGTAATTTGAAATTCATGTGATGCAAGGTAAATTTTTAAACAGATCAAACATAAAATTAATAGTAAAATGAAACACTTTGTATCAGAAATACAGCCAGAACACAAAATAGTAGGTGAACATGACATCAATATATGCCATGAATTGTTTTATGAAATTGTTAAATGAAAAAACATATAATAAAGCATTTAAGTTTTTAATTATACAAGTCAGTCACCATGTTGCTCAGCCATTTCTTGAGAAGCAAATATTAGTATCTGTCTATATTTCTGAGATGAGGTATTATGTACACTATTTACATTATTCGGACTATCTTTGTCACAATATTTATTACAACGTTTTGGCTGTTGTATGCTCCGACCTTCTTCAGGTGGTTGGAATGTCAAACTGAACTATTTATTTTGCTCACTGGGGTAGACTGTTCTAGTTCCACATGCCATGTCTAATGGATGTCAGTTATCAGTTATCTCCTGTTAATTCCCCTCTCCAAGTTCTTCACCGCCTTAACCAGGTATTGAGCTCACACTCTTTGGGTCCTGTCAATGGATCTAATGCCTTTATCCACTGTGCCATGTGTTCTTAATGTTAATAAAACTAATATTAACAAGTTTTTACTTTGGTACAGTTTATAATGAATCACGAAAACAATTGTAAATAAAAAGAAAAAGAGCTTAGAGTAAAGGTTTCAGATTTATTTTTCCTTTTTCATTTTTACTGACATATCCTTGATCAAATGTGCAATCATGTGATAAAAATGGCCAACTGGCTCAGCAAATAACTTTCATAAGTGAAAACAGTCATAGCTTATTTTGATAAATCATTTCTTTTTCATCTAGTGATTCCAAGAAACAGTCTTTGACACACTAAGACACCTATTTTAATATGGATCAGGATATATTTTTCTGGCCATATTTCTGATATTATTTTATTTTACTAGAATAATTATAGATAGTTAAATTAAGATATTTGATGATTCTTGGAAAATCGAAGCTTTTAGTGTGTATGTAAGTGTATATACAAGTACAGGGTGTGGAGCAAATGCCACCCACATATACTACCCAGAAATATCTCCCATATAATAGTATGCCATTAGTGGCGATGTTGTCTTCATCCATCTAATGTCTCACCATTGTATGGAAGCATTTCTGGAAGACATATGTGGGAGATATTTTTGCCACACCCATTATATAATCTTGTTGTAAAGTTTCAAAAGAAATGGCTTCAACACATGGGGATGTGTGTATATATATATATATATATATATATATATATATATATATATATATAGTTAAAATAAAAAAAGAAGAAGAAAACATTTACATAGTCATAGTGTGCATGCATGTGATGTTCACATGATTCTTTTGACATTAAGAAGTCTGCTGCCTGGGGAGTGTCTCTCTGGCAGAGAAAAGTCCTGTTGTTATCATTACTACATGCCAGAGGAAAAGAGAAAAGGATTTTTATTGTTTCATCCTTTTATAGTCCTAAAATAGTGTCACCTATTGGGTGTCTTGCTAGACAAGGTGGAGATAATCCCAACAACCTTTTAAAAATTTAATTAATAAATGCTCAAGGTAACAGTGAATAACATTTCCAATAGATTATCAACCTTTTACAAGTTATTTAAAGCCAGAAAAGAACTTTTTAGATTTAAAACTTTTTTTGAGATAATAATTATTTAGTGATACAAATCTTACTCTTTAACTCATAGCTGGGGAAAGAAGAGGTGGATTCATACCTTTTTTCAAGTGTATTTGTACATAAGTGAATATAACTACCCCAAATGAAATTGGAACTTGACTCTCCAACTAACAATTTTGAGCCATTATCCATTACACCGCACACACATATAAGCTTACTACACCTGGTATTCTCAAATTGTCGGTGACTAGGCTTGATGTTGCTTAACTTCAGTAATTGTGCAGGAAGCAGTATTTCACTCTGATGTGGTTGTAAGCCCTGCTTTGAAAGTAGTTATTTGATTAACAGACAAGAGTGATGGGTGATTTAAATTATTCTGCTATATAAACTACAGTACATTATTTTACTGTAGAAATGTATTAAAAATTAGGAAGGGATTATTGTGAATTAAATAAAGGGTGACTAACAGAAGAAAGTTATATATACAGTTACATTTTATAATAATAAGTATTATTTAAAAAAAAACACACACACACAATATAAAGGATACACTGATTACAGACCCTATATGTCCTCTTTTGCTGGTTTTATTTTTCCCTATTATTTAGCATCATTGATTTATGAACGTCTGTATGCATCTATTTTCTTTTTATTCTATTTTTTATTCATTTTTAGTAGAGAAAGTCACTTTCTTTCATGGTGTTCTGATGAGGATGTAAATAAACATTAAAATATTAACTAAGCCACCCAATTCACTTGTTTTTGTAACATTATTCAAAGTTATCTTTAGCTTCACACACACACATATATGTGTGTGTGTATCTACATATATATATATATATAGATAGATAATATTAGTGGTAAATATACACACACATATGCAAAATATATAGATATATATACATAGGTGCATACACATATATGTATATTTTTTGAATAAAAATTCCGAGAGGATAGAATCCAGGTAGAACTCAATGTCCAGGACAGAGTAAGGATATAATAAAAAGGCTTAAACACTAATATTCCATGGTCATAATTTTTTCCATCATGTATATGTTATTGTGTATGTGTGTATTCGCATGTGTTTTTGAACATAAAAATATAGGTCCTTGCTAGATTAGATAATCATTATATTTATTTTTTATATGTTTATATTTGATTTGTAACCTGTAGTCGATATTAAATTTGTCAAATTTTCTCAATTACACAGCGGCCCTTTCAGTAAATTTAGTTCAATTTTACTTTCCTTCGCCATATCTCTCTCCCCCACCTCGTCTTTCCCTCCCTCTTATTCTGATCTTCAACATTAAATCGTCTATGGTGTGTGTATGTCACCACGAAATGTATCTTTATGCATTAGACATCTGACAACATTCATATTTCTCTTACTTAACCCCCTTCCACTCACCTCTCTTAAAATTCTCTCTGTTAAGGTTTAATCTCCCCCCTTTTCTAGTCTGTTACCCCTCATACTTACACTCTCTCTAAATTCTGTTTTTATTTCGGGAGTTGTTTTTTCTTTTTTCTTTTTGAATTTGTAGGTCTGATGAATTGGATCGTATTTATGATTCCAATGGAATAAATTATGACCATGGAATATTAGTGTTAAGCCTTTTTATTATATATATATATATATATACAATGTGCGATGGGTAAATTATCATCATTTAAATTTTTTTTTTATTTTTTTATTTTGTTGACTGCACAGTATAGTAGAGTCAGTTGGTAACCATCTGTGAGAAAAAGAGAACCATAATGCAATTCACTTTGCCAGAAATTTGGAAATGACATGCTGTACTAGTTGGCATTTGTGCTGGAAGCTTCAATACAAACATTTCAGAATATCTGTGTGTCCCTCTCTGAGGACAGTGCAGAGGATTCAGAAAGAGGTGGATGAGTCTAAAGGTGATTACTTTGATCATTCTGATAAGAAAAGAACTCCTGAATGTGTTGGTGAGAGACTCAACGTGAAGGTCTACATTGTGCCTTGAGGAAGTAGTGCTGCCCTGGGTCAAGAGGGTGACTACTATTTTTTATGTTTTTCTCAGTTGAACATGAGTGTGTACAAATGTTTTTGAAAATATGCTGATTTTTCTATTAAATATCTTTATCTTTCTTTATATTATTGTAATATCAAGTGTAACAGCAAAATTATTCAAATCATGTAACAGCATGGAATAATTGTCCATCCCACAGTATGTTTAATATCTAAAAAACCACTAAACTAATTGAGTTCCTTTTATCCAGGTTTTCAGATAAGACGTTTAGCCTTCTTGACATCATTTGTTGTAAGAATCACTGAAAAACCCTTTGAGTTATTCAGCTTGAAAGAGAACAGTTTAAAATCATTGTATCAGCCACACTATATCTTCCCAACTGAGCAATGGTGAGACAAAAATGATCATTCAGGTTTTAAATAATGATAGCAACATTCATACTCTGGCTTCCATCTTCAAAGTTCATTCAAGAACCATCAAGAGAACAGTAAATAAGTTTAAAAAAGTGGGTACAGTAGAGAGGAAAACTGGATAAGGATGTCACAACAGGAAGAGGGATCATCATTTCAATTTAAAGTTAAATAAATTCTTATTATTCAAAATAGAGTTCAATATTTTTATAAAAACCTTGAAGAATTCCAGTAAGATATCTTTAATCATTTCTAAGATAGAACTGTTCAAAGCTTAATCTAAGAGTTGGACAATTTTGCTGTTACGCGATTTGGATAATTTTGCTGTTACACCCTGTATATATAATTCATGCCAGGGAAAATCAGAATGTCTGAATTGAATTTAATGTTAATAAGAATCTTTGTTCTAAAAAGAAATTGATCTGCAATGACCCCAATATGTCCTGTGCTCACCCTATGATATATCAATGTAGATTTTGCATTTTCTGTCACACCAAAGCATCATAGAAGCCAGGTGCCTCAAAGGGTTGATCTGGAAGGAGACCTTATAGCCACCAGGTGCAGAAGTCAGTAGCAGACCATGGCATGTTAAAAGGTGTTCAAACCAACTGCACATAAGATGGGCTCATGTGAGACAACTAGCAAACAGGAAGATATATAAGCACTTCACCTGAGAAGGAAAAGACTCTCACATCTTTACAAGGAGATCCATGTTTGGAGAAAGCCCCAAAGCCACACACTCATGTCAGAAGTGAATAAACAATAATTTCACGTATGAAAGAGTCTATCTCAAGTTCTTATTAGTCTTTATAATGATAACATTACATTATAATTAGTTCTCAATTACTTGACACACCTTATATGGTGAACTTGATGCAACTTAACAAGCAATCAATCAACTTATTACACATATATGAAAAGAAGTACCTTTGATTGAGGTTGTATATAGTATAAATATTACATTCATCTTGACTATGCACCTACCAATTCTTCATGTCTTGTGTGACATTCTTTTGCAAAATATTACCACATCAAAATATGGCAGCTACAGGCATAATCGTTTAATACCCAAGGGAAATACTTTGAAGAAACGAAGGTACCATTACCCTCAGAAGGTTATTTTTTATTTATTTTTTAAATGGTTAAATGCTTTCCAGACAGACCTCCAAATAATTTTCAGATTTTATAATTTTTTTGAAAACTCAAAAAATTTGATTTTGTGTGTGTGTGTGTGTTTCTCTCTCTCTCTCTCTCACACACACACACAATATAACATGATATTTCTTTCTCATTTCAGTTTGTTGATTTGGCTGTCCCTTTCACTGAGATGTCATGGCAGCTACATGATAATGACATTGATGAAGACAAACTACCTTCATTATTCATACAATTCTTGGTAAAAGATGAAGGGGAAAATGTTACAAAATTACTAGAAATTCACTCAAAACAGGTCAGATAATTCATTTATTCAGTTTTCTATAGAAAATTAAAATAAAATTTATTCATTATTTAAATAATGATTCATGTTTTAATACTTTCTTAGTTGTTTAATAATTCAATTTATTTTTAATTTTTTTAATGATTAATGATGCATTTTTTAATTTTTTTAGTAACATAGTTTCCTTGTGTCTTTTCTATAAATACTTTCATGGTAATTGTTCTGGTGAGCTTTATGCTATAATACTTAGACTTTGTAAATTTAAGCACAGTACAAGATTAGCAACAAGGTCTCATCAATTTACAATTGAATTGGCTAGATGCAGCTGTAAATTCTATGCTAACAGTTTCTTATCTCACACTTCTCACTTGTGAAACTCTCCTCTGGCCTCTTGCTTCCCAGTTAATTTTGATCTTCAAAAATTTAAACCCAATATCAGTCATTATCTGCCTCCTTAATTCCTATTCTTTATTGTTCTTGCTCCTTACTAATGTTTTCTTTTTCTTATATACTTTCATACTTAGTAACCACTTGTCTCAGTGACTTTATTCCCTTGCTTGGGGTAAAATTATTAAAAAAAAAATCATTTTTAGTATAGCTGTCCTGTTGACAAACCAAAAATACTATTTGTCTTTTTCTATTCAAAATATCAGGATTATACTCACAATATCAGTCAACCACCATTTTTTACCATTTTCAAAATCCTTTAATAACTGAAGAAAGTTTGAAGATTCTAAACCGGTAATTTGGAGTTAATCATGTGTTTTATATTGCAGGCCAAACTGATGAATGCTCTTATAGATTCTATGGTTAAAAGAAAACGCATGGAGCAACCATATCACAGGCATAGTTTACCCAATTTTGATTCTGTTGATGGTGGAATTTCAGGTGAGTTTTTATTTCACTCTTCTGTTTTTTTATATTGGAAATTTAACAATATTTTTTTCTATATAATGAAAGTCATCAACCACTCACTATTTGTAGAGTAGGTAAGATTTTAGAAACCAACAAGAGAAAAATTATTTTATACTGGTTAAATATTTAACTCTGAAAGCAAGGGTATTAAACTTTCCTGTCTGCCCTTATCCAAGAAAAAAAATTATTCATATGTAATGTTATCATTGAACAGATTAATAAGAACATGGAACTAAATATCTCATATGTAGCTTCCCTGTGCCTTTTCTATAAATACTTTCATGGTAATTATTCAGATGAATTCTTTATGATGGTACCTGGACTTTATGAATTTCAGTGCAGTACTAGATTGGTGGCAAGGTCTCATCAATTCAATTTAATTGGCTAGATGTGACCATAAGTTATATGTTAAATTTCTTTACTCGCACTTCTCACTTGTGGAACTCTCTTCTAGCTCTATGCTTTCCACCCAACTTTGATCTTCAAAAATTTAAATACAGTGTCATTTGTTATCTACTGTGTTCTTGATTCCTCTTCTTTTATTGTTCTTGCTCCTTAATAATGTTTCTCTCTTATTTTCTCACACTCAGTAACCCCCTTTTGTCTTAGTGGCTTTATTGCCTTGCATGGGGGTGATATGATTAAAAACAATGTAGCATTATTTAACTCAGGACTTGTGATTTAATATCATCGATTGTGTGTGGCTTTAATATTCTCTCCAAATATGGATTCTTCATCTCGTGAGGATGTAAGAGACTGTATTTGGTTACACTTTGAGAGAAAATTATGATAGACAAAATGATTATCATGGAATTCACTCCCTCGAAGATTATGCTACTTTCTGTGTATTGTGTGTGTGTGTGTAAAAGGGGAGATAATCTGTTTTGCTCACATTTTTTTCACATTGGGAAATAAATAAATGATAATAATTATCACTTTTTAGTTATCTCCCTTGAAATAATTTTTTTTCAAGTTAAGTACATTTTTCAAATCATCCGTGTTTTCATTTTTTTTTTTTTTGATTTCATTCTTTAAATTAGCACATTTTAGGGGTACCTTAATTATTTCTTGTTACAATGCACTGTTTTGTATCCCGTGGATTTTTTTTTTTAGTCGAATGCGAATCCAGACCACACAATATTACTCAGTTGAAAATCACTTAGATTATTTACTTGTTTATTTATTTTGCATGCTTTAAATTAATATATGTTAGGGTTATTTTAATTCAATACCTCTGCTTACAATGCACCATTTCCACTCTTCAGAGATTACATGCAAAATCGTGTTCTTTCTTGATATTTATGAGACTTGAAATAGTTTCATAAATATCAAAGAAATGATTTTGTTATTTAACTTTTTTTTATGAATTCATCATGCAAAATATTTATTTAACCAAATTGTCCAACAAAATTATTTTTTTCTAAACGCTAAAATCAAGAACTCTCATCTGCCTTTATTTTTAGTCATATTATGATTATCCTTTTAAAACAAAAAAGGAAAACCAGTCATTACATTTTAATTATTTGTTTATATTGTTATTTTAGCTATTCGGTTATTTTTTTTTGTAACCACCCCCACAAATATTTTGTTTATTTTTTTTACTAAGTGTAAGGCATAATAACCGTTTCTTTTTCTTTATTTAATGTTTTTTGAGAATAAAAGTGTTATTTTGCTTGTTTTAATATAGCAACCTGGCTAAAATATTTTTGATATATAATGTTGTTAAATATAACAGACGATGAATGTCTATTATGTCTGATCATGATACGTTCTAATGTCTGTATAATGTCAACATAACAAAGTATTATCTTCAATGGTGAATAGCTTTGTTCAAATGTCCATATAACCATTCTGAAGATGGCTCATGTGAGCTGAAAGCTTAGCACAAGGACCAACTGATTAAAAAAAATATGCAAATGTTGAACAATTTTTGTCTTTCTTTTCACCCAAAATTAAAGCAAACATACGGACATTAAAATGGCTCATGATCAAACATAATAGACATTCATTGTCCGTTATATTTAACAACATTTTTTAATAATGATCTGCTGCCCCAATACACTAAAAAATATATACACACCACACACACACACACACACACACACACACACACACACACACATATATATATATATATATATATATATATATATATATATATATATATATATTACCCATTTTAACAATATCAGTTTTATTTGATTAATTATTATATTAATTGCATGGTAATATATAGTTATTAATTTATGTGCAAAAATCTTTGTATGACCCCAATTGAAACTTAAATTACGTCCCTTTAATTTCCAAAATGAACCTTGAAGGGAGATAACTAACAATTTTGCGGATGTTTAAATTCAGTTTATGAAAATAGAAAATTATGTTATAAAGATAGTTATGCCGTATAATTTGTATAAAATTGGATTAGTTAAATAATATTTAAATTAATTTTTCTTTACATACATTTTTAATATAAAATATGACTTGTATAGCTGGTTACCGATTTTAAGAATAGTTTTTGTGAGAGTTCCACTTGTATTCACAATATTCAGGCATTTCAAAACTATCTGATTCTCATAAATCCAATATATTATCATTACGAATTTTTGTTTACAAAATAAAAATTGTCTTGATTTTGTGAGGTTAAAATTTTGTTAAGAATTTTAGGATAGAAATCGAAATGTTACATCCGTTGTCTAAATTGAAATTTTCGACAACTGTCCCAATATTTAATGTAAATTTGTTATCTCCCTTTGAGATTCATTCGAATTGAATTTTCTTCTCATAGTTGTATTTTATTAGCATAATCACATGAGACAGGAAAATGAAAATCGTGGTGGCCTCAGCAAGTATCTGATGATCTGACCAAATCAAACATATCAGAATGAAAATTAATGTCCCTTTATATGACAAGGTGATTTAAGAATTTAAATAGAATTTGAAAAATAAATTACCTTGAGTGTTAGGACATTTTGAAAATTTCAGTTTAGACAACTAATATAATATTATAATTTTTATCCCCAAACTCTTGCAGCAGGCACTTGAGCGAGTTCTGGAGCATTAGTGTTTTGACCATGGGACCCGGGTTCAAGTTCTCAAGTTATGTACCATGTGTGATACATGCTTAGGCGATCATTTATCGAAAGGTACATGACTGACGAGGCAGATTTTTTCCCTGCAGTAGGTTGCCATTTCTTTCTGCGGTAGATCAGTTGACATCCAAGGCTATAGAACTGGGTCTGTATTGCTATTTACTCATAGCTGGGGCCGGGGGAGAAGAGGATTCATAACTTTCCCAATGAATCCTTCAGCTATTTACCCATGTTCACATGGGAAAGTTATAAATTCTCTTCTTTCCCCCCCAGCTATGGGTAAATAGCTCAAGTCTTATTATGATCAATTAGACAAAGAAGAGACTTATTGATAGTATCCACCTAGAGAGAGATGATCTCAGCATCTACCATCATTGAGAAGTGCCTAAAAACCATACCACAGGTTGACCCAAGCCATGTGTGTGAAACAGGGTCGATGGAATTGTTCGGAAGTTATTGATGTTGAGATAGCACAAAGTCACAACTAATTATGATCCAGCTGTTGAGCATACTGGCCTTTTTCAATTACTACAGTTCATGCTAAATTGTGCACTCTCTCATAGAAATTGTAACTAAGGCCTGTTCAACAAAATTTCAGCATAAACCATAAAACATGTTGAAGAAATATAAATATCTCTGGAGATGTTGAAGAAACATAAATATGCTTGAGCAGGTGTCTGCAACAAGGTTAGATAGGTACCCTAGCAGATAGGCTTACTCCAATAATGTCTTCTCTTTTATATTTTTGTGGTATATTTTTATGAATAGTTGTAAAATATTAATAAATGTATTGAATTTAATTCTTGATATTAGTTTGTAAAAAAATTATTTAATAAATGTCTTTTTTCACTAATTTTGCAGTAAAAAACATTACATTATTAATGTCTTCTATTTATTTACAAAGGACAAAAATTCAACATACTTTTTAAAAAAAAAAACCCTGTTTTTTCTGTTAAAGAAAAATATAAATTATCCATAAAAAAATTAATTTTATACTTAATATGGTCATTGTTGAAGAAAAATATTAATTTTAAATTAACTTTAAGTGATAAAATTCTTAATAACACTTGTGAATTTAGCACTGAAAAAATTTGTTTAAAGTTAAAATATGCATGTTCAAATAAAATAAACATTATACTTACTTCAGTATCTTAAATAATAAACATAAGTTAATCCAGAGGTAATAAGTAAACAGTTCTTAAAAAAAAAAAAAATAAATTTCTTAATCCAATTCCAGCAACAGACTTTCACATATTAACTGTCCATCCCCAGTCAATGAAGATCTAAACATGATGTAGAAACGTGGGTTAAGGATCTCCTTGGTTTACTCAGAAATGAGTAGCCAGCTATTATATGCCATCTACTGCTACAATTCATTTTAAAAAGATATTAATAGAAATGTAGATGAGCTATATCCAAAACTAGCAGTAGAGCCTGGCGTTGCCTGGGTATGTAACAGTAAGAGATAGATCAAGTATCGACCATCATAAAGACTGAAAAATAAAATTGACAAAGATTATTGTTTAAGATTGATAGACACGAATGTCTTAATTAGTTTTTTTTGGAGGGGGGGTTATACGAATTGGTCAAACCCAAACTCAAACAAAAACATTGTTTTCAATCGTTCCGAGTCTATCGATTGAATAGAATTTTATTATAAACAATTGTCTTGTAAATAGAATTTTTAAAGCATTCTGAATGTAAAAATAAAGAAAAAAAGTGTGCAAGACAAAAGAAACACTACCTGCCAAAAAAAAGTGAAGTTTTGTTGAAATCGGTTGAAAAATGTAGGAAATCCAATCCCATATATAAATGAATGCACACACACACACAAACAACCTGGGTTTTTATAATAAGTATAACTCGATATGAGTTGTCTCCCTTTCATTCTGGTGACAGAATCGTGTTTTCAAATTGATTCCATGCAAAAACAATTGTGTTTTTCCAATTTTGGGCGATGTCAGAACCACCGCAATGTAATTTTATGCAGTCCTGTAAAGTTTTGTTGAAATCGGTTGAAAAATGTAGGAAATCCAATCCAATATATAAACGTACAGACACACACACACACACAATCTGCGTTTTATAATAAGTAAGATGACAAAGACCAAATTTGTTCTGATTAACAAAGTGAATCTAAATCAATTAGGATTGGATTACATCTACTGAATTCATTTTCATATTTAACCATTTGATGTTGTTTTATTTGGATTTTCTTGTCTTTATTGTTTGTCTTTTTTCATGGCATTTCAGCCATATACACTCTGGTTTTCTTCAGGTGTCTGTTATATTCTGTTGTCAAATAGGATATGAGTAGATTCTTTCAATCTACTTATTTGTCAGTATTTCTCCCTATCTATTATTTTGAATATATTCGGATAATTCAAAAACCAAACCGATTTTTGACAACAGTATCTAGTGGGAGAAAATGTTGAGATACCATAGATCTAACCTAAGAGAGAGGAGGTTATGATCTTAGCACAAATGTTGGAGGAAAGCAGCTGCAAGAACACAGATAAATGAAGACAGGAAGTGATGTTTATGAAGGGAAGTAAATAATTCTCCAGAATAAAATAAGACAACATTCTAGAACAAAACAGAAACTGAAGAAGCCCTAAAATATTGTGAAACTCAAACAAAGAAATTAGTCTGAAGAAAACCATATGAAATGATTAAAACTTTTGTCTAACAAAATGCTGACAAGAATTCTTAAATAAGGACTATTCCTCAGATTATAGAACAAAAATAAACTATTTTATTATTTGTTAATAAAAAGTTTATTTTTAAGTTCTGCTTTTTAAGTGCTGATCATTCTTTAAGTTTCCCAAACCATAATTTTTGAATATCATTATATTATGTTCTTTAGGTAACTCAAGAATAACATTATATTGTGGGTAGCGAGGGAGCAAAATTATATTAAGGTTAGCAAGGGAACAACATTATATTGTGGGTAGCGAGGGAGCAAAATTATATTAAGGTTAGCAAGGGAACAACATTATATTGTGGTTATCAAGAGAGCAAAATTATATTGTGAATAGCAAGGGGGTAACTTTATGTTATGGGTAGCAAGGGGGCAACATTATAGTGTGGGTAACAAGGGAGCAAAATTATATTAAGGTTAGCAGGGGAATAACATTATATTGTGGTTATCAAGAGAGCAAAATTATATTGTGGGTAGCAAGGGGGTAACTTTGTTACGGATAGCAAGGGGATGACATTATATTGTGGTTAGCAAGGGAGAAAAATTACCTTGTGAGTAGCAAGGGGGTAACTTTATGTTGTGGGTAAAGAGGGGGGCAACATTATATTGCGGTTATCAAGGGAACAAAATTGTATTGTGGGTAGCAAGTGGGCAACATTATCTTGTGGTTAGCAAGGGGGTAACATTATCTTGTGGTTAGCAAGGGGGTAACATTATCTTGTGGTTAGCAAGGGGGTAACATTATCTTGTGGTTAGCAAGTGGGCAACATTATCTTGTGGTTAGCAAGTGGGCAACATTATCTTGTGGTTAGCAAGGGGGTAACATTATCTTGTGGTTAGCAAGGGGGTAACATTATCTTGTGGTTAGCAAGGGGTAACATTATCTTGTGGTTAGCAAGGGGTAACATTATCTTGTGGTTAGCAAGTGGGCAACATTATCTTGTGGTTAGCAAGGGGGTAACATTATCTTGTGGTTAGCAAGGGGGTAACATTATCTTGTGGTTAGCAAGGGGGTAACAATATGTTGTGGGTAGGAAGGTAGCAACATTTTGAACACAATTGATTTTTGTCTTTGTCTTTTTACTTTTCAGTTACCTTCAGCAAAAATCTAAACAAATTGAAACGTCTCAGTTTGGACACTTACACCACCACAGGTAAAATTGTTAAAATATTTAGTCTTTTCCGTTGATATATCTGTATCCTGGTTGTTCACGTATGACTATTCTCTGACTGCCATCATCATTAGTATTGTTAATTATCCTTTTCCTTTATGCAATGAAACCAACAATGGGAAAATGAAATATCAAATATGTCATCTTCATGTGTGGCAACCATTTTGAATACACTGCTGGACAAAGACCTTTTTCAATTTCTTCCATACCTGAAATTATGACATTCTATAAAATGACGAATAGAATTTTTGAAAATGTCAAGAAGTTCATGTCACTCACTTGCAGTCACCTAAGGTCTGTTTACTATTACTGGCAGAAAAAATAAACCACATTTTTTGAATTCAGTTTTCTCAAATTTACTCACCAGGTGTGTAATGGATTTGCATGTTCTCTAAAGCAGAATATTCAACTCCATGGTGTTTGCAACTTGGTTGGCTTGGTGTTAAATGGATTTATATGTTTGTTGATCAAGATGTATTTTGGATTTATGTGTGTTGATTAAAATGTATTTTTTTTCTTCACAAAACTAGCATGGAGTGCTTTAACCTTTGAGATATGTTGTCATTTTCTTTCATACTTGTTCTCTGCTATGTTCTTTTTGTAAACCTCCCATCTTCTGATTGGAAGGCTTATGGACACATTACATTGAAACACCAGTTCCAAAAAAATCAACAAGGTTAAGCAACATTGATCCTGGTCAGTACCTAGATGGGTGACCAGTTGGGAATACCAGTTGCTGTAAGTTAGAATGTGCAGGTAGTGTAATAGATAATGGCTTGAAATTGTTAATCGGAGAGCCAAGATCCAAATCCAATTTGATTCGTTATATTCACTTATGCTTGGGAAAGATACAAATCCACCTATTCTTTTTCTATCTATGAGTGAATTAGTAAGTCTTGTATCACTAAACCATTATTATCTCAAACAAAATTCTTACACTCTAAAAATATTTTCTAGCTTTTAATAACTTGCAAAGTGTTAATAAAACCATAAAAAATGAATCAATCAAATCTTTTGATTGATCTTTTCTACTGAGTTCATTGGGCACCAATCCTTTTGCTTTTGAACTGTCCTTTTGCTCCCTCTGTTATCATTTCTTACTATGAGTTCTGCTTACCAATAGTTTTGTCTTTTAATAAATTTTACGATATATTAAGGCACAGCGGAACTCTGAGCTGACTAACAGAAATCGATGATAATCATTTCACTACTACACATAAGCTTATCAGAAATTAGTAGCAACAGGTTAGTTGAACTTGCCACTAACATTCCACAACTTGATATTATGAGAAAATTTCATATAAAATCTAAGAATTCATAGGTGATACAGAAAGTAATGGTTCAGTTAAAATTTGCACTCATAAATTGATTCTAAACAGTAAGAGATGATTTGAAATTGCATAGAGAAAGTGAGACACGTTCTTAATAATAATAATAATATGATTATGATTGCATATGTCTTATATGGTTGCAAGACCTGGAAAATGAATCTGGGAGTTGACAAGCTTACTGACTTATTTCATAATAACAGCCAAAGAAGGATCCTCAAGACATGTGAAAATTTTGGAACTGCTCCCCACAAATATCTCTGTAGAACCCCTTAATGTTGAGGTACGGCAAAGAAGATGAAAGTTCATTGGCCATACTTTAAAGCAAAATCCAACTGATGGGTGCAATGTAGCACTGACCTGGGTCCTTGAAGGAAAAAGGAGAAGAAGAAGACCAAGAATGATATGATGAAGGACTTTTGAAAAGGAGAAGAGAGTGATGGTCTAGTGATCTTGGGGTGAGGTGTGAGACCTTATGTGCCACAAGGCACCAGGCAGATTGATGATTGCAGATGAAACTAAAAATAAAATCAATTAAAACAATTATATTCTTTTTTATGAGCTGTAAATAAGATTATTCTTAAAGGATAACAATTTTTTTTATATACTGGCTTACAAAACAGTCATACATCCATTGAATAGAGACTCTCCTGTTAATATTATTGTATGGATTTCTCTCTTTTAATATTTTAAAGAATCACTTTAAAGTTGGTCATGCAATGGCAGATTGACTATGAAACTAATAAAGCTTAAACTTCAGGGCCCCTGAATCAACTTTTTTTAATGAGTGAATTTTTCAACAGAATTGATGGTATATATTTTATTTATTTATTTATTTTTTTTGGTGTTTGTTATTAAAATAAGTTCATTTTAGTGATAGAATCAAAAGCCAATAGGCTGAAGTAGCTAATGTTGGCCTTATAGAATATGTTCTAATACCCATTTCATATGGCCTCAAAATTCCTCTGTAATTGGTCAAATTTCAAAATTTTCTTGGGGACTTGTGCTTGGGTAAAACATTAGGTCAACTTTGCATATAAAACCTGAGAGGTATATTTTGGAGAAGAAAAGAGGTACTTATAGGTAATCAAGTATGACTGTAAGTAATGAATGTTGAGTGGAGCAAGATAAATTTGTTGGTTAATCTCGTCATAAAAGGCAATCTAGAATTAGTTCTATGACTTAATGGATAAAAATAATATATTACTTAAAATGTTACTTTTAGTTGATAGCCATATTTGAGTAGATGCCTCATTTTTTTTTAAACAGTTTTTATTTCATCTACTGGCCTGTGTACTTGGGTAAACTTAGTTAAGAAAATGTACCCTTTGGCAGGATTTGAACATGCACCCCACCTTAGCAGGAGAAACCACTGTCTGATCCAGTTTTTTTTAAAAAAAAAAACAGAGCATCTACTCAAATATGGGTACTCACTAAAAATAACATTTGGAGTAATAAAAATATGTTGAAATAAAAAATAAATTCCATTGTTTATATATATATATATATATATATATATATATATATATAATGTGTGTGTGTGTGTATAATTAATACAAATATAAACTTTGTCACTTAGCTAATTGGTGTTATGTTTAGCATCCTAATTCTAGAGTTTAATAGATGGACGCTCCACTAATCACTCCATCTACTCATCAGGGATATATATATATATATATATATATATATATATATATTTACTGTGTATATATACATATATTTCCTTTTTTTTAATAATGTTCACCCAATACAAAGCCTAAGAAGCAAGTAGAGGATTACTTAATAGTAAAATCAAAGTTATAGCCAGTTTTGTTCCTGTGTATTACGAGAGAGTTTGAATGCTTGTCTAAATGTAAATCACTTTTGTGCTTGTAGATCATAGGATGTTTCCCCAACAAAAACTTTTTCACATTGTAAACAATTTATGCTGGTACTTATGAAATAAATTGTTTACAATGTGAAAAAACTCTTTCATATCAGTCTCTGATGAAGCTTTAATAAAAGTTAGATTGCTAAATGTTTTATATTTGTTCTTTATATATATATATATATATATATATATATATATATGGGAGATGTTATAGTTGTTCTAACAAAAGAAGCCTTGAAAATATCCAGTAAACAAAATTACTTTGTTTTTAATATTTGTAACTTTTTCCCATATCTACTGAAAGAACACTTGACCAAATCCAGGGCTTTCTCACTCCTGTTGTTGGAACCCCTCCCTGAATGACCTTGTGTTCAGGAGTGTAACCGTACTCACACCAATTGCAGGCTGGTGAGGCTATTCAGAGTTGTCCTTCACCTGGGTCAGTTGCCATCCAAGGATATAGGACCCAGTCTGTCTTGCTATTTACTCATAGATGCGGGAGAAGAGATGGATTCATACTTTTCCCATGAGTATTTGTATGTAAGTGAATGTAACAAATTTAACTGGAATTCGAACCTGGCTCTCCAATTCCTCAATCTGAGCCATTATCCTATACTTCATTGTCTCTCCAGCAGTAAGTTTATATATTTAAAAACATTTGCTGATATGTTGGATCTACATTTTTTCTGCCAAAATAGATTTTATGTACAATGTTGTGTTTAAATGCTTACTTATAAATTACTAAAATTTATTACTTAAATCTTATTTTTAGCGGATACCCATATTTGAGTAAATACTCTGTTTATTTATCAAACATATATTTATTTTTGTCTACCAGCCTGAATATTCAATAAATCTTATTAAAGAAAAATATACTCTCTCTGGCAGGATTCGAACTTGTATCTCCCTTGACAGGAGAGACTGTTGTTAGAGCCAACATTCTTTAGATTGGCTTGGCTGTGGACTATGGCACTGATAAAGCTAAGTTGAATAGTACATTATAATTGCCATTAATAATTAAATGGAATGTCTCCTCAAATATGATTATCCATTAAAAATAACATTTAACAAAATCTGTCAGATTAATAAATAGAAAAATCCATCACTTCCTTAGAAATTACTAAATCTTTATTTTCCTTGCCTGCCAAAATATAGACAGTCTTATATAGTCATATTGGTATTTTGAATATTATAAACTGGCAAACAAAAACTAATTTTAAATAAGCAATGTTCTCAAACTTCTTTTTTCTATTTCAGGTGAGAGACTCAGTTAAAGTCCAAATATGGCTACAACTTGTATCTACATTTGAATTTGATTGGCTGTTCATGTTTGTTCCTGACAACAGTAGCAGCTATCCAATCAGAATGCCTTTTGTTTCCTGAGAATGTGGAACAAGTGCTGCTGTCTGCCTTCCACAATGATAAATTATCAAGCTTCCCTTTTTTAGGTCTCAAGCTCTGGTCACCTCATGAAGTGTTGTTATCTTTTGCTTTAACCCACTTTTGCTGTGAAAGGTGATTGAAAGAGCGATTCCATTGACTGTTGCTTGCATTTTTCATTCCAGATTGTTTCTCTTGGTACCTCTTATCCAAAATTCCATGACCTGTCCCCATTCCCTGTATTTTGCACCCTATTTTAATCATTTTTATTTTTCCTTTTATTGTTATTAACTCATTAGGATTAGAATCATTCTCTGTATTTTTTTCAACATTAATTCATAGATGTTATGGCCTGATACTTATCTTCTGTCCCAGATTAATCCTCTCTTTCTTGAGATATATATATAAAAGTCTCTATCCCAACACTCATCTCATCATATTCGATATTGTCCCTTCAATATTTGAACAATATTTTTGTCCCTCTATCCCAGATATTCATTAGAATTAGTAATATTGATTCAAGTTTTTTCTGATTCTGACAGTTATTATAGCACATTTATTCTTATGGTTATCAATATGAATTACAATAAAAAAACAATGACTTCTAAAATAGGGAATATATATATATGATATAATATAAATATAGTTTTAAAAATATACATAGGAGTAACTGAAGGACCCTGGAAACAAAGAAACTATGCACACAAAACATCTTTTGCAAATAGTAAATACGTGAACAGCACAATGCTTTCTGTGAGATTAAAAATAAAAACCAAATCACACCAAAAATATCATGGAAAATAGCATCAGCCTACAACAATAAATCCAAAAACCATAAACTCTGTCTGGAGAAGAAAAATAGCTATAATTACCTTTCCAGACCCACACAAACTACTAAATAAATGATCAGAACTCGTCTCAAAATGCAGACATGAAAACAAATTTTTACTAAAAATTGAAAACTGAAAAGGAACAAGAACAAACAAAAATAAATAAATGGAAAAATAAAATAAATAAAAAATAAGTAAAATAATCCAGACTAATAAATAAGTAAATAAACTAAGTAAATAATAAAAAAAATATGAACAAACCACAAACACACAGATAAACACAAAAAATATAATAATAACAATATTAAATAAAAAAAGTTAACAAACACTATAAATAACCAAAAAACTGCATCTAGATCCACACTTCAATAACCCCTAGAATAATTCGTAACATTGATGTTACTGCCCACCAAAATAACTGTTAAAATAATACAATAGACTACCCACAATGCATCACTGACCTGTATATATAAATAGCCAAGCAAAAACACAACTAACATGGCCTGACGATTGCATTTAGCATGAAACAGACTGTTGTATCTGGGTGTTGACTTCAATGTCCACAAAAATGACCAGATGTTGATTGAAAGAGTATTGCTTACCTAAGGTTTCTATCCAGGGGAAATGTACACTGATGCCAACACTTTCATCAATATTGCCACCTGTTTTGTTTTTCTTTTTTAATTCTGTTATACTTATTATTACAAAGATGCAGGTGGATATTCTATCTAATAATGATCTCAACTTACAAACACTAAACAAAACAACACATGTCTCATCATATTCTACATTGCCGCATTTGTATTCTGTTGTCAAACAAGAATATTTATTGAAAATAGAACCTCCAAACATTTTCTGGACCTGTAAATGTCTTTTCAAGAAATTAGCTTACTTCTCATAATTATTGCCCTAACATTATTTAATGAAAAAATCTGGGCTTATGGTGATATCAACACCGTCTCTGAAGTTAAGCAACATTGAGAGCCTTGATCAGTACCTAGAGGGATGACTGCATGTGAATACCAGATGCTGTAAGCTTGGATGTACAAATGGTGTAATTGATAACAGCTTCAAATTGTAAATCAGACAACAGAGTTCCAATCCAAATTTGGTTCATTATATTCACTATTGTGCATATATCTCTGGGAAAGATATGAATCCATCTCTTCTCTCCCCAGTTATGGGTTAAATAGCAGGAATTGTGTCAGTAAATTATTATCTCCAATGAATTCTTACTATCCCAAAATATTTTCTGCCTTTTAAATAACCTGCATAAGGTTGGTAAGCCATAAAAAAACAAATCAGTCACAAAGAATGTACCAAAGTCTTTATGGCTACTTGAAATACAGTAGAAACTTGATTGCATAAATAAATTGGCTATGATAAAAGGCATCAAGAAATTGAGAAAAATTGAATTTATTCCTCTCCATGTATAATTTAAATATTGCTGTGAAAAACCTTATTTAACTATGGAAAATATATCTTACCAGCCCACTCTGGGAAAACCGTTTTAGTTTTTGCACAATCATTAAAAGTAAAATTGTGTAAACAATTCTAATGATCAAAATTAAAATATTTGCAAATGTATATTTGTGAAACTTTGAACGTTTGAAAATTGAATCCAGAAGCTAATAGTAATGTAATAGTAAAACAGAAATCTGTTTTGTATTAGCAATGCTAAAAAAAAAAAAAAAATGAAAGAAAAATAAAAAAAAGAATCTTAAGCAATTATAATTAAAATTATAGTCTAGAAATTAAGACTTTAAACCCAGTCTCAAAACTGTAAAATATTCTTATAAAAATCTTCAGCCTACACATCTAATTTTTTTAAAGCTTTCTACCTTTTTGGTATTTTTAACTTTATTGAATCAGTGTTGATTTGATAGAATGTTTCTCACATATATAATCCAACATTGCATTTTATTTATACATTTAGGAATATACTTAAAAATAACTGCAACAAAACTGCTATTAATTTAGTGCTTGAAAAAAAAATTCTTAATAGTGCTAATTCCATTTCTTTGGCTTCCTTAAAACCCAGTTTGCAAATATGTCCCTGGGGAATCAAGTCAAAGTATTTCTCATCATTAAGAATTATTTGACTTGCTTTCTTTTTAATGAAAATTTGATAAAAACTTTATATTATATCCTTCTGCTTTATAGAGCAGTAAATTTAATAACCCCTGTTAATTTATGGAATTGCAAAGTATCATGTTTTGAGGTAATATTTATTACATGTACAAACATTTAAAGGTTAAATTTATAAACAGGTTGATCAGTTGGTGAATTGTCAGTTTTATTTAGGAATAATTACAACCTCAAATGAAGAAAAGAATATATATATATATATATATATATATATATAGTTGGATTTATGTGAGTTTGTGATCCTGGCTTTCACACTTTTGTGATTGTCAGACAAACTGATTAATTTTTTTAAAAATTTAATCAGTTTGTCTGATGATCACAAAAGTGTGAAACCCAGGGTCACAAACTCACATCAATCCAACTAAATATGTTAGCTCTATCTCTGATATTGAGTGCTTTCCAATAAGTACTGTGCATATAATATATAAATAATATACATAATATATTGCACACACACACATATATATATATATATATATATATATATATATATATATATATATATATATTGACCTGGAATGCTCAAAATACAAAATGCTTTTTCTAAAAGCTTTTAAAATTATTGAAAAAGTTAGATTAAAATAAATCTACACAGAAAGAAATGAAGATTGGAGAATGTGTGAAATGTGAGAAAAGTGAATATGGGACAGTGTCTGAAATGTAAGAACAGTGATAATGGGTGAGAAGAAAAAAAGGAAATAAAAAAACCCAAGGAACAAAATGAAGATCATTCAAGTCTCTGTAGAAAATGACAGGTAATTTATCAGATAATGAATAATATGTAATTTCTCTCTCATATGCGCATGCACACACACATGCATGAGGTCATTTCAAAAATAATACCTATTATTTTAATATGTTGACCTCAATGCCAAAGACAGATATTAACAGTATGGCAGTAGAGATTAGACCTTTCTACTAATAACTTATAATTTGTTTTTGTCTTGTTAGATATATCAACTGAACATTTTGGCAAAATGCATATAAAACAGAGGTGTTAATTGAATTCCTCCATGCAGAAAGAATTGCACCCATTGACATTTATTGAATATTTATGGAAACTAAACAGTGGTTGTGAGCACAGTTAGGTGGTGGGCAATGTATTTCAGCAGTGGTAAAAGTGACATGTGATGAACTATCCAAACAGTATTTTTCCAACAATATTATAGCTGCTACAAAACACTCATTTTTAATGTCTACAATATAAAATTAGTGTTTTGTAGTTGAAAACATGCTGTGTCCAACAGTGTCATTGTGCTCCTTGTATCTGTTTTAGTTCCTGTGAAAAAATAGGCAATATTAATTTCAGAGTATCTTTCTCACTTGCACACGTGTGTATGTAATATATACATATATATGTGTGTGCTATATATATGTATATATATATATGCGTGTGTGTGTATGTGTTTGTATAATATGTGTGTGTTATATATATATGTGTATATATATATATATATATGTGTGTGTGTGCATGTGTTTGTATAATATGTGTGTGTGCATGTGTTTGTATAATATGTGTGTGTGCATGTGTTTGTATAATATGTGTGTGTGCATGTGTTTGTATAATATGTGTGTGTGCATGTGTTTGTATAATGTGTGTGTGTGCATGTGTTTGTATAATGTGTGTGTGTGCATGTGTTTGTATAATGTGTGTGTGTGTTTGTATAATATGTATAGTGTGTGTATAATGTGTGTGTTTGTATAATATGTGTATGTGTGTGTATAATGTGTGTGTGTTTGTATATATGTGTGTGTGTGCGTGTGTGTGTATTATATATGTGTGTGTGTGTGTAATATGAGAAATTTAACAAATTGATCTGACAAAATAGGAAAACCTATATTTGCAATATGTTTTGTTCGTTCAGGAACTTCGTCAAAAGCAAAATGCAGAGATTTATTGAGAAACACCAT